GGTTCACATATATTAATTACAACAGTTAAGATAATTCATACATTAAAAGAAAATAAAGATACTATTCTAAGTTTAAATTATGGTAAATAGTCTAACTGAACTAATATATTTTAAAAATGAAACTTTTTATAATTAAACTTTCTTAGACTAAAAAAGTTTTAGACTAATTAATTGGCTTTTCCTTTTCTTTTTTTTTTTCAGATTCTAAATACAAAATCGTAAATATAAATGAATGAGGAGAGAATTTGTTGTAGCTACCACTCTCTCCCATCCCAGAACGATAAATGTATTTTGATTTAGAATTTGTTTTAAAATAATAGTTGTTCATTTTCCTATTTTAAAGGAGATGAATATTTTTTTTTTAGTTTAAATTTATAATTATCTTTTCACTTTAACTATACATCTTCTTATTAAAATAGTTATTTATTTTTAAGGGTAAAATAAGTAAAAATAAAAATTATCCCTAAATCCTTAATATAGAGATAAAATCAAAAAGTATCTATTATTCTAGGATGAAGGGAGAACATATTACATATTAGCAATGCTATAATTATAATACCATATAATGTTGTAAGCTTACAATCTTATGTGGCATTAAATGAGTGTGATATGTTATTAAATAAATGAATATATATAATATCATCAGTAGATCCTTAAATGAAAGGAGCCAAAATTATATAAAGATTCATCATGTTGTTAGCTTATATTATCACATGACATTGTAACTATAACACTTTCGATTGCATATTATGAAAAGGACCATAATTGGTGCACACTTAGATCCAACACCCGGGTGTGCATCCCCCACATAAAAAAAAAAAAAGGATCGGGTGTTCTCCATTTTTTTTTTATGTGGAGTGTGCACACCCGGGTGTTGGATCTGGGGTTCCCACATCATTTTCCTTATGAAAATGGACAATAATTGGCATACCATCCAATTTAATATATTCTACAATACATTTTTTTAAAAATTATTATTTTTAATTTTGAATTCTAAGCAAGAAAATTTTCAATTGCAAAATCTTAATAATTGAATTAGTGAGTGTCGATAAATATGTTGAAGCAAAAGGTATACCAATTATTTTCCTGTTGTACGGTGTATCGATAGTTTATTTTATTTTTAGATTAAGGATTTGAAGATAATTTTTATTTTTACTTATTTTACTTTTTAAAAAATAAATAAAATAAAAAAATATTTTATCACATAATAGATAATTAAAGTTGATAGATAATAGATATAAGAATAAGGTTAAAGTAGGAACAAAAAATTTATCTCCCTTAAAATATGAAAAAACAAGTCTGACACTAGAAAAAATTCTAAATAAAAGAAAATTTACTCCCTCCGGTCAAATTTAAGTGTTCAACTTTATCCATTCAAAGATTACCACAGAATTTGACAATTAGATTAGATCATTTTATTTAAAAAGTGAGAGAACTAAATCTGATTAGAGAAAATATTATTCTGAAACTAAGGGAATATAAAATGTCTGAGAGGGAGCAACTAATTGCAAGGCATGTGTTAAAAAACTAAACAAAATAAACTGTTGAGATATTTTAATAAAGGACAATGATTGGTGCACTCCTGTATTCAACACCCGGGTGTGAACCCCCCACATATAAAAAAAAGGATGAACTGGGTGATGGGCATTTTTTTTTTCTTATATGATGTGTGCACACCCGGGTGTTGAATCTGGGTGTGCACACATCATTTTCCTTTAATAAAATAAAAGGATATTTGCTTCGTCTCAAGTCTGATTTACGTAATTGTCCTTCTATGTCCAATTACCGTCCATTACCCAGGAAAAAAAAAAAAGCTTCATTATTATATATATTTTAAAAATTTTTACCTTTAATTTTTATTAAACCAAAAATACCCTAACATCATCTGTATAGTGTATTTAACAAATAGGTTAAAAATTAGAATAGTAACATTTATTATTTTTTAAATAAAAAGTTAGACAACTAATATAAATTTAGTACGTAGGACTATTAAATTAGAGCAAGAGAGTATAGTAATTTATAATTCTATTATTACCATATATTTAATTTGTTTCGGTTACTTAGTACTAGCATTCAAAATATTGATTAAATGTATATTGAACTTTGGAGGTATAAATGCACGAAACGGATTCATTCAGCAACCTATTAATTGGCTGCCGTTTAACGCCACCAACTCCAAGGTGTAAGTCATTGGCCGGTTACCTGAGCATTATTTTTTATATAGAAGGGCAACAAAAACGGCTTTTATTATAAGAGAACGAAAAAAGTAAAAACCATGATGTTCTTTGTACATGAATATTTAATCTTTTTAACAAAATATGAATTATATATAGATATGATATGTGCATGCACATGCAACACAATATCTATAACCTAAATAAGATGAACTTCATATAATTAAGGTTGCTACAGCTATGAGCTGAACTCCCCTCACCACGCAAAGAGTCGATACAAACTTATGATTTTGTTTGACTTTGTTCAATACCTAGTGTAAATGGGTCAAAATTATGCCCTAACATAGTACCCTAATCCAAAAGATAATTCTAAAGGCATAACTCCCTTGGAAGCGTTATAACTCTTTATCCTTAAAGTTATTAGTCCCTCAACATATATTTTATATACTTTAATTTGTAAACTTCATATTATTATTATTATTATTATAGTTTCATCACATGAGTCATATGACCATCACTACTCTACTACTCTATTCTTGTTATCATCATGCTTGCATAAATATGATCCACCTGGATCTATAGAGATAGAAAATCCTTGTCCAAAACACATATGGTTCTCATTATAAATAGGATTATTCTTGCCTTTATGGGTTCAAATGGACCATGTTTCTATTAGTATGGCATTGGTGAGCATAGAGTAAACTATAATTAAAATTAATTAATAAATAATAAATTTACATTTTTAAATAAAGTGCTATGTGATAAAGATTAATGTAAAACATATAATCACATGTAACTTTAATGTACTTTGGTTATTTAGGTCATAGTACTCAAAAACTCGAACTATGGAGAATTACTGCTTGTTGACTTGGCAAATAGGTTGAGTCGGTTGGGTTCAAATTGGGTTATTTTAAGTGTCAGGTTTATTGAGTTATGTTATTTTAGATTTTGAGTATGTTTGGTTGAGGGTAATGGACCCTCAATTGGATAAGTGAAGAAATTAAAAGAAAAAATATAGTTAATAACTTCCCTCCCCTCCCCTCTCCAAATTCTTTGGTAACCAAATAGAGAAAATTTCTCTCTTCTTAGACCAAACATACCTTGAAATGACCAGATCCAAAGCCTGCTACTCATCTAACAATTATTTAGATCATGATCCACAAGCTCAAATTTAAGTTGTTAATAATGGTTAATCTTTATATTTATATATTAAATTCACTCGTAATTCTCCATTGATACGAGAGTCAAGGCATTATATACCCTTTAAGTTAA